TTCCAAGAAATGTTGTCCCTAACTAGAAACATGCCTGCCTTTTGGTAGGAGACATTTGAAGTAAATAACGAAAATGAGCCGGCAACAAATGCTAGTGAAACATTTCACTTGAATTGGGTTTTTCCTTTGCTGCAGACATTATACATCTCCTGCGCATGTGCCTAAACTCGTCGCACGCATCTGGAGGCTCGGCACAGTGTATTGCACCATTGAGAGTTTTGCGACAACCGAATAGACAATGTCAGTTTCCCAGATGCCACGGCGTGCGTCCTATTATTTGTGGGAACGGTGTTTGTTGACTCAGTCTTTTTTTCGTGATTATAAGTGTACTTATTTCGTTCTGCCTACTGTATTTTTTGTGTACGATTTGCTCTTGCATGTTTTTTCTGTCGTTTTCGACGTGGGCATTGATGGACGCCAAACCGCCTCTTTCGCTGCTCCTGAGGTGTGTTTTGGTGAAGATACGACTGTTTACGAAAATTGCAGTCCAGACATGGCCATCAGATCGCAACTGCGGCAAGCCAGGAAAGGATCGTGCAAATGCACTATTCGTGATGACAAAGCAGCCTCTTCCATATTGGGCACGCAAACAGTAGTCTGATGTCATATGTTCACATTTCACACAGCGAGCGCAAACGGCCAAATCCAAGCACTGTTGCCTTCGCTTTGCAATTACGGTTTTGTTTTTCAGTGGTGACATGTTCACTGGTTTTTGAAACTATTGTCTGGTGATTGCATGCAGGTAGATAAGTGAGCTAATGGTGGGATAGTGCATGGTGAAAACAGCAATACTCGCTTCAGAAGCAGCCTGGCGTCCCTCAACACTCGTTTTGAAAGCGACCAAATGTACACACAAGAGCGAATCTTGCACGGAAAATACGGCATGGAGAACGAAATAAGTACACATATAAAAGAAAATAATGAACTAGATTATGTGAAAAGAAAGAATTAACGCTAAATAACGAAGATAAAGAGGACATGCACCGCGACGGAAGGCAATCTGATCGAAGAGCAGCCGGGGGACTGGGCATACGAAAACGCTGTTCCCACAATAGACCTTTTGCAAAATCTCCAAGTGCCCTGGCCCGCACGCGAGGGATTATGGGAGAGATTGTCCCTCGCCTGGCCGCTCTGCCTTGAGATCGCATTGCCTTGTCGCTTGCCTCCTCTTAATCCTCTGTGTTTCGATTCCATTACCTAATTTTATCTATTCCAGTGTATTTTTTTTATTGTTTCTAAGTGGTTCTATTCTCTTCTGCGTGCAATATTTCTTGTAAATATATAGTATTGGTGCCTTTATTTTGCCTTTTTCGACGGGAGTGCCGACAGGACAACATGTCGCTTCGCGCGTCGTTCCTCGGGTGAGTACTACCGTTGCTACCGATTCCTTTCGTGCTGTTAGCTGCTTATTTTGGTTCAATTTGACCCACGTGCAGCTGAGGGGAGCAGTTTATTAATACCCGCGCACATGTCATAGGGGTAGGCAGAGCTCTTAATCAACAATCGCGACGCGAGAGCCGGGTGCGCTGTGATTTGACTGCCCGCGCTTGCTCCGTTGACTCGCACTGTAACGTATGCCTTCTAGTGCCGCTTACTTGACCAACATAAGCATGCCGCTTTGTCGCCGCGAATAATTTGTCCGAACGTTTGCGAAGCTGAGGCATACGCAACGTTGCGGCGCCTGACAACTGCAGCAGTTGTCAGGCGCTTATGGTATGCCTTCTTAATCTATTCTATATGCTAAGGCTAAGCGGTTTTCAGTTGCAAACACCCTTTTTCAAGTGCTGACAACTGCATGCAGTTGTCAGGCGCCGCAGCGTTGGATATGCTGAATGGTGTTACGGTTTCGCAGGCATTCGGGCAAATGATCCGCGGCGACAAAGCGGCGTGCTGTATCTTGGTCAAGCAAGCGGCACTCGAAGGCACACGCTACAGTCCGAGTCAACGGAGCGAGTGCGGGCGGCCAAATCACAGCGTACTGGGCTCTCGCGTCGCGATTGTTGATTCAGACCTCTGCCTATCTCTATGACATGCACGCGGGTGTTCATAAATGGCTCCTCTCGACTGCACGCGGGTCAAATTGAATTATAATGAACAGCGCGATAGGAATCAGTGGCAACGGTAGTACTCACCTGGGGAACGACGCGCGAAGCGGCGTGTTGTCCGTTGGCACTCTCGTCGAAAAAGGAAAAATAAAGACACAAATACTATGGGACTAAAAACACTTAGAAGCCGTAAAAAAATATGCTTGAATAAATAAAAGTAAGTAATGGAATTGAAAAACAGAGGATTAAGAGGAGGCAATGCGATCTCAAGGCAGGGCGGCCAGGCGAGGGACAGTCTCCCCACCATTCCTCGCGCGCGGGCCAGGGCGCTTGGGAAAATAGCAAATCGTCTATTGGTCGGATGTGCGCCAGGGCACTTGGGGGAAATTACAAATCGTTTCTTGCCTATCTCTTAACCACTGTGCACACTGTCACGGCCTTCATGCTTGGTGGGCTTTGCTGCCTTGCATTGCCGTGTTAGGAGCAGCAAGGTGCGGGCAGTATTTGGGTTAGCCCAATCGGCTTTGAACTATTTGCTCTCTTAGACACTCTTTCGTCTTAATTGTGTCAAATGCTTATTTAAAGAAATGCCGAACTATAATTTAAAATTATGCATTAGTATGGCCATCAAACTCAGTCCGATATAAAATTCATATGAAATTCCTCAATATCATTTAAGGGATCGTAAACCAAAATTTGGATAAAAAAAAAACAAAAAAAAATGCAGATGTAGGTCTGGACGCTACAATCACTACAACATTACTCGTTGGGTGATATCTCGAATGGACGGCCATATTTTTGGAAAAAGAGGCCGAGATTGAACCAGGCCGACGAGGCGCGTGACGTGAAGATATCTTGTTTCCTCCTCTCTTCGCTTCGCCCCCTCAAGGTGGCGAGGTGAAGACGCGAGGGCCGTTGCCTCTCCTCAGAGAAAAGAGACGTAAACATTTCTGTCAAGTACGCCTTTTTTTTTTTTTTTAATACAGTTATCTGTTAGAGATATTGCTGATGAGTGATGTTTTGGTGTTTGTAGCATCCCATTGCACTCTTTTGCTGTATGTTTTGTGGAATCCAGATTTCGGTTCGACATCCCTTAAAGTGTATCCACACGACGGACCGGGCCGCGGACCGATTGATCACGTGATGCGCGGCCCGCGGACCGCCCGGCTGAAATGAGCATCCACACGGCGGACCAAAAGAGATTGACAGAGCGAACGGGCCAGACTAACCCTCGACCTCACAGCTCCGCCAAACGCATGCAGCGAGCTGCTTTGAGGCTATTTGTAAGGAGCCAAGTTGGAGGTTGAACGAAAGAGACGTTTGGCCGCGGTGGCCCTGGCGTTGACTATTGAGGACGTGGAGGACTTAAGTGAACCGGAAAGGGCATGCATCTATTGTCCCACAGAGCGGGGAATTGCTCCACGAGCGCGATTAAGTAAAAAGTTGCATCGTCACACCATACCGCCATCGAAGCACAACAAAAGGTTGGTCTTCTTCGTCTTCACCAGTTGGCGCCAAAAGAAAACGACTTTTGATTTGGATTCCAGTCCAAACAACAAAAGTCAGCTTGTTGCCAGACTTGGCACTTCAATTATACTAAAAACGCCGCGGTCCGCCGCCAAGGTTCGGGCGAAAAAAGTCACTTGGCATTTCTCAGAAGCGCGGTCCGCGGACCGCCGGCGGACCTCGAAAACCGGTGACGTAAGATCACGTGATGCGCGGCCCGCGGACCGAAACAGCAATTTGGTCCGTCGTGTGGATACACCTTTAGGGGGTTATGACATGCCAAAAATAAAATGAGATAACTGTACTGTTAGGACCCATTGTATGTTTCTATAATCCTCCTAAGTTTGTTTTGAGAGTGGCGCGTTAGTTTCGTGGATGAATCGATTTATATGCGGGTCCCTCGGACCCGCCCTATTTGAAAATGCCACCCTGGCTGGGAGGCTGGTGACTTCACCAGCCTCCCACGCGGCGTCCCCTTGCGCAAGCTCACAGACTTGGCTCTCATGGCGTCTCGAGCTTCAGCTTCCTCGTTTACCTTCCGCTTTTCAAGCATACGGTCTGTGACGATTACGGCATTGCTGCTCGCCTTGTCAAAGTGTTCGACATTGACCGCAGCAGCAATGAGGGTGATTGCTATCAAGAGACGTTGGAAGCTGTTCATTTTGACTGCAACCCGCTGGCGACCAGCTCCAGAGATGCGAGTTATGGACGAACTCGGCGTGGTCACCGTCGCCCTAGAATGTCTCGCAGGCACATGCAGGGTGGAAGGTGCTCTCGCCGGGGCCGAGAGCAAGAATAGCGTGTCGGTTACCGTGCTGCGTGAGCGGTTTTGATTGTGCCGCGGCGAGGGAGAGCTTGGGCGATCATGGGGGCGCCTTGAATGAGAGAGCGTTCATGATCATGTGGTTTATGGACGCCATGGGTGTGAGTAACTTGTGCAGTGTTGCCTGGTCGCCAGATGAAAATGATAAAAATTTATAAACCGATTATTGCAATTACCAGAGCTCTAAAAATAGCACAATTGGTGTATCTACTAAGTAGCCTATGAGCATTCCATATCAAGAATAATCTATCCGTCATAGCCCCTGTAATGGTTACATTTTCCCAAATCATTGTTTTCTGCTGGGTTTTACTGCATAATATTGATGCTTTTTTTAACCTCTTTGCAAATATGGACGGTGATGCCATTTTGAACTTACCGTGATGGTCAGCGTTTTCAGTGCAGTGGTCAAGCTCACTTATTTGGGGCGCAGTGGCCATAATCAAAGCTGCGTTTTCAATGCTTTCTGTTCTGAAATGTGGGATATTTTGGTCCTAAGCTGCTGCAAAACGCAAATTTTCCTCGTCCAAAAATTACTCCAAAATAATTTTTTTTTCTGTCCTACCCCTGTTTTATGGATTTTGTTTGTGTAACAGTGTTTCTATTGCTTCTACTTCCATTTTTTGCAGAAGTGGCCCGTAAGAAGGCTTCACAGAACGGAGCTGCAGTGTCCCTTGGTAAATTGCTCTTCAGAGCATGTCTTTTCATGCGCTAATCAATAATTGTATTTCCTTTTCAGGTCGTCGAGCTTCAAACAGCCGCGATGGCTTTGATCTTGCTTCTACATCACACTCGGGTAAGTCTAGATTACTGACATTCTAATGTCATGGGCAAGATTAAAGGCCATGCTTTTGAATGTTGGAGGCAAAATCGGTAAAGGCCATGGAGCATCTTTCGGCTAGAAAGCTTTCAGGCATTTTAAAGATATTGAGGGTCTGCAAAGCCAGGAGCTTGTTTAAATGATCGAAATTAATGAATAGGTCTCCATCTTTTCCGCGTGCTCTAGCATCAGCTGCCTCCCTTGGTCTCGTGTCAATGGCAGCTCTACTCCTTGCTTCTCCCATTCCTGCAGCGGCACCCTCTCTGCCTCAGCACCCTGCTCCCGCCACTGTAGCTGTCCCCCCGATGGATCAACACAATGCCCCCGCCCCTGCAGCAGCCCCCCCTATGGATCAACACAACGTTCCAGCCCCCCCCTTTGGATCAAGAGCCCGTTCCTGCCCCTGCAGCTGTCCCCCTTTTGGATCGCCCCGCTCCCATCCCTGTGGCAGCACCTCCTCTGGACCAACACCCTGCCCCACCAGCGGCTCTTCCTCAACGTCCTGTTCATGGCGAAGCTGGAAATCTTGGTAAACCGAGCCATCAAAGTCTGATACTGATATCAGCGTTTGTTTTCTCATAGAAAGCAGTTGGGTACAAAGCGCGATATTGTTAGAGCTGGCGAGCGATGACGAGATTTTGCTGCTTTTTTGTTAGTCGGAATGCTGTCATTCAAATTTCTGGTGCCGTAGGAAGTGCTAATTTGGGACACTAACATACATGGTAAATACATGTGGGAAGCGAGCAGTTGTGATTAGCTGTTGAGCACCGTGTGTCGTTCGGTCAGGTTGCGCATGATCATGCTTTTGTAATTTTTTGGCTGCCTAGAGCTCTAAAGTGAGTTATCACCAAAACAACCTCAGAAACCTCCTTTAGTGCCCCCCTAACTTCATAGCCGCAGAAAGTTGTCCCCACTTACAGTATACAGTGAAACCTCGTTATAACAAAGTTGAAGGAGCGGTCATAATTATTTTGTTATAACCATCAGTTTGTTATAGCCAATGTCCATTTCTTTCCGCTATTAGCAAGCAAGGGGAATTATGATTGCTTTGTTATATCCATTAGTTTGTTCTATCCCATTTTGTTATAACGAGGTTTTACTGTAGTCCTTTCCAATGTGGGTTCGTCGTAATCCCAAAATTTTAGGTTGAATGGAGTTCGCCTTGAACAGGCTGTACTTATGCTTTGTCAAGTACTTGTGAATCCTTAGGGAGTTTCTGTAAATTCTGCCTAAAATCAAGCTAACCATTTCATCTCATCAGTGCACACACTTTTATATTTCATGGACAGCACACCAGCTGAATGCAGCTGTCCAGGGTCCACTGCGACCACTCTATGAAGTCAGGCAAGGGAATGTAAGTGACTGGTTTACATTTTTTTTTTTCATTGTCCTTGTAAGGGGAGAATCAGCCAGCACTCCGTGCATCTGCTGAGGAAATGCCTTGGAATGATCAGCATAGCTACTGCTCGCTCTTACGAGAAGTGCGATGTGTTGACATTCTCGGCGTTCTCTCCGCGGCAGGTGCCGCATGCATCTGTCATGACTCGAGATTTCTCCTCTTCGCAGCGCTTGGCGCACTAATCAGTATTCCAATCCCTCTGTGCACATCGGTGACTAATATATAAGCACTAAAGTTCAGAGAGGACTGAACTGACATCATGTGTTTTGGTTACTTGAGGCCCTTTCATACACTTGCAATCGAGTACGACCAAGAGAGATGAGACCTGCTGAAACCTCTTAAAATTACTTAAGACAAGAGAGCACACTGGCATGCTGGTGACACCTATGCGGTGACTCTGGAACTGCATTTCACAAGAGCGGAGGTTTTGGATTTCCGAGGTCAAATGTTTGTAATACCAGGCTCGTTTATAACGTTGACAAACGTTTTTCGAGCCAAGAAAGAAAGAATAATGCACAAGAGAAGTAGAAAATATGCTGGACTGCCTCTCGTCGTAAGAGAGATTAAGAGGTTCCAAGGCACTCGGTTCTAAGAGGTTGCAAGCGTATGAACGGGCCTTAGCATTAGAGTGACTAAAGCATTGCATGTCCTGAAACCGACCAATATTACGAAATGATTTCTGCAAAATCCTGCTTTCTTCATAGAATCCTTCCTTATTATTGCGTGCCTTTTGTCACAGATTCATCTGGGAGACGATGTCTATCTCTCCGAAACAAAAATGACGCACCTTTTGAAACTGCCAAGTGACCAGAGATTCACTAAAGATCTCATGCGGTGCATCTGGTCCATCGAACAGCTGCAGCAAAGAAGCGTGACAGGCCAAGCCAGCCGTCGCCTGGCCAAACTTGGAGCCGCAGCAAAGCAAGCACTCACACCAAGGAAGGTGGCCGCAGTAAAAAGTAAGCTATGTGTTTTGGTGTATCTTCAGAATTTAGATATGTGATGCAGAGGTGGCTTTTGAATAGTGTTTATCATGTGCACTCTCAAATGCTTGAACAAAACTTTGTTGTTCTGTCTTCAATCTGCCACCAGCATCAAGAGCTTGTATAATGGGGAGGCTACCTCGTTTTTCTGATGAGGGGAGGAAGACACCTTTCTGCGACATTTACGAACAAAAGTTTGAATTAAAATAGAAGAGGAAAACACAACTTGTCCAAGGATTCCAGGAAAATATAAAAACCAGTCTGGTTTGTGCAACTGGCAGTATCAAAATTCAGGGTTTTTAATGGGAATGTCGCGAACTTTTTTCGAATCGAAGTTTCGATGATCGAATCAAGCGGTTCGAACGACTTCGAATTTTCGAACTTTCCATAATTTACAAATTCGACCGAAGTCAAATATTCGAACTTATTAAACTGAGAAGTTCGATGCTTTTCGAACTTATGACGCAGCAAAATTCGATGCTTGTCGAACTTTCGAGCTTGGTAGACTAAAAAATTCGATTATTTTCGAACTTTCGAGTTCTTGCACTAAAAGGTTCGAACCCTTTCGAACTTTCGAACTTTCTACGCTGAGAAAGTCGATAATTTTCGAACTTTCGAACTTATTAATCTAAAGAATTCGAAGATTGTCGAACTTTTGATTCCAGAAAAGTCAAAAGTTCGAACTCGAACTTTTAGGGTGAAAGTTCGAAGTTCTTCGAACTTCGAAAGACCGGCGGCCGGTTTCATTTGGATTCAAGCAGTGAGGTACATTCGTAATTTTTTTCCCAATTTTGCATGTGGTGCCGCATTCCTTGCGAAAGACAATGCCGTTTATTTCAATCATCTGGCATGCTTGGTTTTAAAGAAATAGATTCCCGAAGGAGCGACGAAGGGACGAAGGACGACGGGTTTTTCACAATTGTCGTTTGTGTCATATCTGAAGCACGCTATAGCCGGAGCTATTTATGGCAGAGATGTTAAACTTTTTTAAGAATGATCTATGTATAGCCTAGGTAAGTGTCGTCTTAAGATATGATTATTGCTGTTCAAGACGAGTTTTGAAGAAATATCCAAACATGGTACCTACGGGCAATTATGCCCTAAACTTGGTAATTTTTTCGCCTACGCTGTTTGAGGTATCGTATTTAAATTAACACGAGAGGCACTACATATTATTACCATCTACAAAATACAAAATAATGTATATATTTTTTTTCACGTTGAGGAATAAATTATCTCATGGGGGAAGATTTTCAGAATTTTTCAAGTTCAGCACGTCATACTTTTTTTTTTCTCATTTTACGCTTTTGGGACGTGTTTCTTCTGGCCTGTACAGATTTTGGTAGGAGAAATTTGTTTCATAGTTCTGGGCCTCCTGAATATGCAAGAATACAACACTTCCGGCGGGTTCTTGATAGTATTTTTTTCTCCAATTTTTTTTTTATTTTTGCACTTATTGTCATGTTTAATTATTCATTATTTATTACCAATGGCACAGTTATTTAGGTCAAAAAGGCATAGCTTTGAACTTCCGAGCCACCGAGCATGTGACGAGTACTGCCTTTTGAAAACCAGTTTCCAACAACGACCATCTACGCGATCTTTTATGCAGTGAAGAGCGACAGTAGCTCTACATATGCATAAATAATTTCAGACTAAATAAGTTCGATCATGCCCTGTTTCCCCGTATTGTTTTTTTTAACAATCCTAAATATACTGGAAGGGGGGGGGGAGAGAGAGGCTGGAGCGCCCCCCCCCCCCCCCGTTCTTCCTCTTCCGACGCCACTGGTATGGTAGAACGCTCCTCGACCTCAAGTTGTGTCAGCTTTTGTGCTTTTTGCTCGCCGTGGCGTTTCTTCCGTGCCAAAAAATAAACCTCCAAAGCAATTACAAGCAAAAATATTGTCAAGGTGCAGGCGAGCTGGTGTATGTTGATCATGATGCCAAATCCCGCGACTGGAAATGAAATTCGCAAAAAAATAGTGTAAGAAGAAAGAAAAAAAGGGGACAGGACAACGTCTCAAACTCGGCTGAGCTGAGTTTTCAGCTGAGTTGAGTTTGAGACACTGTCCTGAGGTGAGTTTGAGACGTCGGCCTGTCCCCTTTTTTCTGTCTTCTGACACTTTTTCTTTCAAATTTCATTCCCAGAGTTCAGTATGAGACGTTGTCTTGTCCCCTTCTTTCTGTCTTACAATTTTTCTTTCGAATTTCATTCCCAGTTTCAAGATTTTGCATCATGTGTAAACTAAACTCACTATATGCCAGCGTCAATCGGGCGGCGTTCGATCGGATTACTTCCAGCGTGCAAGGGAGTAGGGGGGACATTTTGCCAGATCACTTCAAGGTTTTTCTCAGCCTCAATCACCTGCCTGCCCCTTGCCGTTTCGAACTGTATGAGTATCGTTAAACGGTGCGTTCGTAGGATCACTACTTCGTGATGCACGTTAATGATCACACCGGGCTGACGGTCACGATTACTGATCTATTGTCACATGTCACTCTGCACTGGAAAATATTCCAGCACGTCCGGGACACTCGTCGTCTTATTTAGTTGCCTGACCAACTTCGCACAGTTTAAATATCACACCCGAACTTTTCTAAACCTGATTTCGTGAAAAGTGAGGCGTGAAAACATTATTTGAAACTGAAACTTTGGCGGAACATGAAAACCGGACTTCTAACTTTGCGCACTTGGACTTCAAAAAAATTTAAAACACCTTCGAAGTTTTTTTGTTTTTTTTTTTAATTTAGCTCTAA